GCGGAGCGCGCCAGGGGCGGCGCCGGAGGCGCCGCCGGGGGGCCCCAGCGCCGATCCGAGAAATCCGCGCGGACCTCCGAGTCTTTATGTTTATGCCCCTTCTGGCTCCCCGAAGGCACGCGCCGGAGGTCCGGGATGCTGCGGGCCGGCCTCGGCTGCGCGCCGGCAGAGGCCCCCAGGGGCCCCCGGAGGGGCCTCCGCTGCGCGGCTCTGCCGGGGGGGAGAGGCTCCTCGAGGGGGTCCGGGCCCGCGTGTGCAGGCGGCTGCCCAGCGCACCGCGGTCGGCGGTCGGGGGGCCCGCACCAAAGAGGGTCCCTCCGGCGAGGGGGGTCGCTCTCTCGCGTGCGGTCGACGGTCCCGCGCCCGAGAGCGGCGTGCGAGCGCCCCCGCAGGCTCGGGCCGGGCGAAAGGGGGGGGATAGCAAGGGGGAGGGGGGAGAAACAGCTCACGTGGCTGATTTTCCCGGCGCCTCCTGGCGCCGGAGGCGCCCACGTATCGAGGAATGGGCCCCTCGGCGGGGCCGAAGCCAGCTGCATGCAGCAGATTTCGTAACCCCCCCTTTCCCTCCGGCCCGACAGGCCTTCGGGGAGCCTCTGGCCCGGGCCGGGCAGGCCTTGCCGGGTCCCAGCCCGGGCCCAGCGTTGGCCTGGCCGGGATCCTTGTGGGCGGCTGGTTGGCGTCCCCCGAGGGCCAGGTCCATGCCCCCCGTCTGCATCGGCGTCCTCGGGGCCCCAGGTGGAGGGAGGGGGGAGGGGGAGGAGAGGGCCGGGGGGAAGGCCTGCCTTCTGTCCGCCCTGGACGAGAGAGAGAGAGAGGGCGTCGGAGGTCTGGGAATGGGGGGAGGGAGAGGAAAGGAGAGGGGAGAGAGAGAGAGAGAGAGAGAGAGCGGATATGGAGAGGGAGGGGGGAGAAGCAGGGGGGAGGTGGAGGGAGGCAGGAAAGGGGCCAGAGGCAGAGCAGGGAAAGAAAGAGAGGAGGGGGGGGCAGGCACGGGGGGGAGGGGCACGGCGAGTGGAGGGGTGCAGGCAGGGAGCCTCGACCTGCGCCCCCCTCCCCCTGAGAAACCTACCCGCAACCCTCCTCCTCCTGCGGTGCGAGAACCTTGACCACGTCTTTCCGGCGGCGCAGCCGCCACTGAGTCGGTCCTTCCTCCTCCGCCTCCTCCGCCTCCTCCTCCTCCTCCTCCTCCTCCTCCACCTCCTCCTACTCCTCCTCCTCCTCCTCCTCCTCCTCCTCCTCCTCCTCCTCCTCCTCCTCATCATCATCATCATCATCATCATCATCATCATCATCATCATCATCATCATCGATCCCAGCTGGAGCTCACGAACATGGCTCGCGAATTCGCGTCCCGCAGGCCAAAGAGCAAAACAAGAAGAAGAAGAAGAAGAAGAAGGAGAAGAAGTCCAAGAAGACTGAGGGCAGAGTCAGGCTGCAGCGTGCCATGGCGACGCACACTCAGCTCGGCAGCGACCTCGACCGCACTCCTACGTGCGGAACTCGCACGGCAGGGAGCGGAGATCACCGTCGGGGCAGCACCGAGGGCAGCCTTGGAGCGGGACGCCAGGGCGGTCTTGAACGAGCTCGAGGGAGGCTCGAGCCCAGCGTGGAGCGAGAGGAATGGAGGCATTGACGGGGCAGCGAGGTGCTGCGGGATCTGCTTGAGGTGGGAGTTGTGCCTAGAGAGCCTGTCTTGGCATCCTTCCCACCCCCACCCCCCTTATGCACAGCACGAGCACTGACCGTCAGCGTAGGATGATTCCAGTAGCTCAGCTCGAACCACACCCCGAGAGGCGGGAACGAAGGAAAGGGGGAAACAGAATCCCGCTAGAGCACGGTTTGGGTTTGTGGGCCGCCGCCCCCGCGCCCTGGTTCTCCCCTTGAGGATTTCAAGTGGTCCTGTGTGGAGTTCCGACCCGTGCTAGCGAGTAACACGGCTGCAGCCAGTTCGGTATGCCGCCCAGCCATGCAGGGTAGTCACTTGGAGTCCCAAACGTATCGTCGCCCAGGAATGTGTTTTCGTGCTTGGTCCCCCTTCCCAAACCATCCCTCCTCGCCGCACCACCAGCCTTGTTAGTAGGGTGGACGCGCGGTTCGCCTGAAGCTTCCCGAGATGCCGTCTACCGTAAACTTGCAAGTCCAAAAAGTCCAAACACTGAGGCCCTCGCGTCAGCGCCGCAAGCATTCGTCTTACAAGTCTGCAACCGTCGCACAGGGAAAATGCTCTCGCTAGAGATGGTCCTCGCTTGTGCAACCCTGCACCTGCAAACACATCTCGCCACGAAACAAGCAAGTCTGGAGGGCAGCTCATGTTTCAAAATAGGGCCCTCGCTTGGCACTCAGTTACACGCTGGTCAGAAGAAGTAAGTAGAACCATGAAGCAGGAAGGCGCTGGAAATAGATTGGGCGTCCGCCCCATCCCCCCCCCCGAAGAGAAGGGGAGAAGGAATACCGCTCGACTCTTGAAGCAGGAAGGCGCCCAAAGTAGACTGGGATCCGAAAATCCAAAGATGTCTACGTTCCACAACCAACGTGCACTTGAACAAACTCGATGCACCTACATCCAGTCGGTCCTTCCTCCTCCACCTCCTTCTCCTCCGCCTCCTCCTCCTCCTCCTCCTCCTCCTCCTCCTCCTCCTCCTCCTCCTCCTCCTCCTCCTCCTCCTCCTCCGCCTCATCTCCGCCTCATCACCCTCCTCACTCCTCCTCCTCCGCCTCCGCTCCTCCCCAGCCTCATCCCCTCTCCTCCTACTCATCCTCTCCTCATCCTCTTCCTCCCTATCCTCCTCCTCCGCATCCTCCTCCTCCGCTCATACCTTCCTCATCACCTCCTCCTCCTCCTCCTCCCTCCTCCTCCTCTCCCCGCCTCCTCCTCTCCTCCACTCCTCATCCCTCCTCTCTCCTCCTCTCGTCCTCCTCATCCATGATCATCTTCACAATCACCATCACCATCACCATATCATCATCACCACCAACACCACGATCATCATCATCATCACTCGAGAATCACAGCAGCAGCAGCATCAGCATCAGCATCAGCATCATTCATCACATCACCATCAGCGTCAGCATCATCAGCTCCTCCTCCTCCTCCTTCCTCTTTTCTCCTCTCCTCCTCCTTCCTCCTCCTCCTCATCATCCTCATCATCATCAGCATCAGCAGCAGCAGCATCAGCAGCATTCAGCATCATCAGCATCATCATCAGCAGCAGCATCATCAGCAGCATAGCCCGCTCCTCTCTCCTCCTCCTCCTCCTCCTCCTCCTCCTCCTCTTCCTACTCCTCCTCCTCCTCCACCTCCTCCTCCTAAACCTCCTCCTCCTCCACCTCATCCTCCTCCTCATCAGCATCATCATCATCATCATCATCATCATCATCATCATCAGCAGCATCAGCAGCATCAGCAGCAGCATCATCAGCATCAGCATCATCATCAGCATCATCATCAGCATCATCAGCATCATCCTCCTCCTTCTCCTCCTACATCCTGTCGCTCCGTACGATGCACTACAAAAAAACGGATGGGAAGGAGGCGGCGGAGGAGGAGGAGGCGGAGGAGGAGGAAGCGGAGGAGGAAGAGAAAGAAGAGGAGGCGGAGGAGGAGGAGGCAGAGGAGGAGGAGGAGGCGCAGGCGGAGGAGGACGAGTAGACCAAGAATGCGTCAACGATGCTGCCAGACACCCTGCTGTCCCAGGTGCCCTGCTCACAAGTCGCCAATTACAATGTTCGGCGGCCTCATGCAAACCCTTCCCCACCACCCCACGAGTTCGTAAAGGGGGAAGTGGGGTTTCACTTCGCTCGCGACCTCCCGAGCGAAGTGAGCCCCACATCCCCCCGTGAGAAATCCTGGGGTGGTGGGGGTAGGGTTCGCATGTGGCCGTCGACAACTGTAATTGGCGGCTTGTGAGCAGGGCACCTGTGACACGCATCCTTGGTCTATTCCATCATCGTCGTCCTCCTCCTCCTCCTCCGCCTCCTCCTCCGCCTCCTCCTCCTCTCCGTTGCAGCAGCCGTCAGGGCACATTGTCCTCTGGATGCATGGGACGTGGCGTCCAAACACAAATCTCCCTTCCCACTGACCCCGTGAAGCCAACTGCGACGTCGTAGAAAAAGTACATCCGTCCTTCTCGTCTTCCCTTGCCCTCGACCTGCTCCCACTCCTCCTCTGGCCCCCTCCCATCATCCTCCCCGGCTTCATTCCCCTCCGCCTCGCCATCCGCATCCCTCTCCTCGCCCAACCTCCCCCATAGCCCCTCCTGGGGGGACAAAAGGGTACGCACACCACTACTCCCCGGACCCCCTCCGCGGGTGCGCTCCGACCAGAACTTTTCGAGGCCCATCCAGTTTGGGGCGCTGGGGGCCTCTCACGGGAGGCCCAGGAGTGCGAAAACGAAGCGGCAAGGGTAGTGGCATGGCATCGGTACCTTTTCCTTACTCCTCGGACCTCCTCCCCCTCCTCATGGCTACGACGCGCCCTTCATCCGCCTCTCCGACGACGGCACACAACGACGGCGCACGACGACGACGACGACGACGACGACGACGACGACGACGACGACGACGGCGACGACGACGACGACGACGGCGGCGGCGGCGGCGGCGACGACGACGACGGCGACGCCGAGGGCGACGCATCGACGGCGACGAACAGCGAAGGACGGCGAGGGGCGGCGCTCCTGCCAGCGCCTCCGCGCCGCGGCTGGCCGCCCAGCGGGCTCCCCATCAGGGCGGAGCCGAGCGACGCTGGCGCCGTCCTTGACGTCGACGACGACGACGTCGAGGGCGACGACGACGACGCTGAAAGAACGACACACGCTCACACCTATAGGGAGGAGGGGGAGGAGGAGGAGGAGGAGGAGGAGGAGGAGGAGGGGAGGGAGGAGCTCCTCATCCTCCCCGACTCTCGAACCCGACTCCGACTCGACTCGACACCTCCTTCCTCCTCCTCCTCTCCTCCTCCTCCTCCTCCTCCTCCTCGTCGTCCTCCCCTCCTCCTCCTCCTCCTCCTCCTCCTCCTCCTCCTCCTCCTACATGCAGCGGCGCGCACACAAAGGTTTCTGACACCGCAGCGACTGTTCAACTCTGAATCGATCACGGCCCCGAAGTTTAATTCAGTCGGGTCCAATGACGTTACCGTGTCCATGTCAGTTGGGTCTACTGACGTCGCCATGTCCATCGCTGCTTCCGCGTCGAAAAAATTAACCTTGAACGCCTTCGCCGGCGTCGCCGGACCTACCGCAGCTTTCTCTCCGCTTGCCTACCTGGCTTTCTCCCCCCCTCCCTCTGGCGTTTGGCCAGGGCGGAGGGGTGCGAGGTCTCGGTCCTCGTTGACAAGCTCATTCGCAGCGAGAGCGACGGCGACGAGGGGGGGGGGAGCTGGAGGGGGGAAGAGAAGGGAGGAGAAGGGGACGGGAGGGGAGGGAGGCAGAGAGGACCTGCCCTGGCGACGGAGCCCACGGCGATTGAGGGTTGGCGAACGAGAGCGCGGACAAGGCACGGGAGCGCAGAACCCAGCTAGACAAGTAACTACATGAACGTTCTCAGGCGTCCCGTGCAGCCCCGTGCGCACGGGAAATGTGCCGATGCCCACGGAGGAGGAGGAGGAGGAGGAGGAGGAGGAGGAGGAGGAGAGGAGGAGGAGGAGGAGGAGGAGGAGGAGGAGGAGGAGGAGGAGGAGGAGGAGGAGGAGGAGGAGGAGGAGGAGGAGGAGGAGGAGGAGGAGGAGGAGGGGAGGAGGAGGAGGAGGGAGGAGGAGGAGGAGGAGGAGGAGGGAGGAACTCGCAGGAACCTCAGGAGCATGTGGAGCCACGCGTGCCGCGTGCCGCGTGCGGGTGGCGGGCAGCATCGGGGCGCGGCTCCGGCTGGCCAGGAGGCCGCACTGTCGAGGTCGGGACCTACCGGACTTGCGGCGACGAGGCATCCGCAGCCTGGTTTTTAGGCCCCCCAGATGGGGTCCGACAGAAGGAATGTTCGCCGACAGGGCTGGACCTAAGCAGTGTTTGCGTTTTCGTTTTGTTTTCGTTTTTCCTCGTTTTGTCTTGAATTCGCCTTTGCTGCACAACGACATCGAAAAGAAAACGCCCCACGAAATCGCCAAAACACCGTTAGGTCCAACCCTGTTCGCCGGTCCGCGCGGACCTATGGCGCGCGGAGCGCGCCAGGGGCGGCGCCGGAGGCGTCGCCGGGGGGGGGCCCAGCGCGGATGCAAGAAATCTGCGCGGAGCGCCAAAAGCTTCTGTTTATGGCGATGCTCTTCTTCCATCCGAGTAGATGGGGAGAGAAGATCGCGCCGCATCGGCGATGCATCGGCAACATTGGCATGGAGAACACCGGCTCCACATCGAGCCGCACCCCCAATATGCATCGCCGATGCGCCGCCCTCCTCCGACCACAGCTGCTCTGACCCCATCCGGGAGGCCTAGTCGCATGGGCTCGGCGCCAGACCGCTCTGCCTGCACGTGGAGGCGTCCGATCGTCGTCGCCACAACGGCGGCGCGAGGGGGCTGGACACCACCGGCTCCACCCGCGTGGAAGCACGGAGTGCGAAGGCCCCGCGCGCGCGCGGTGGCCCCTGCCCTCCCACCCCCCCCCGCGGCTTGACGCGCACGGCTTTCCTCAGCGTGGCCACAGCTCTTCTGCGGCAACTCATGGGAGCCTCCCATACCATCTTGTCGGCTCTCGTGCATCCACGCTAATCGGCGTCAATCGACGCTGATCGACGCTAAATCGGCCAAACATCCTCGATTACCAGGCGCTGATCGACACTAGACCTTCGATGACAGGATCTCTGAGCACGAAATTGCTAGGGCACAGAAGGCTCCCATGATTGGCTACTCCAGACTTCGAAATAAAGGGAAGGGGGTCTCATTTCGGGGGGGGTCTCTTCCAGGCTATCTTGGAGGGCCTGGGGGGTCTGGGGACGATGTTTTGGAGGGTTCTCCCCCGGGGGAGGTCTGAAATGGCTTGTCTTGGAGGGTCCAGACCCCCTCCCTTTTATTACGAAATCTGGAGTACCGAACAGATCGATGAAGCCCACGGGATGGAAGCCCGATGAGTTCAGCTCGACGGCATCGCGCACGAAGCGGGGAGAGGGTGCCCGAGAGCGGCAGCCGACCAGGACTGGCAGCGCGGCTCCTGCGGAGCAGACGGCGCTGGCCACCGAGCGGGCAGCGGCTCGCGGCGGAACCCCAGGCGAGCCCTGCTGAAAGTGAACCGTTAGCTGCCAGGCGCTCCCCCTACACAAATGCCGTCCCATGTCGGGCATCTCGTTTCGTCCTCCTCCTCCTCCTCCTCCTCCTCCTCCTCCTCCTCCTCCTCCTCCTCCTCCTCCTCCTCCTCCTTAGCCCCCCCCTCAGCCTCCTCCTCCTCCTTCTCCTCCTCCTCCTCCTCCTCTTCCTCCTCCTCCTCTTTGCTGTCATCGTCGGAGTCGCCGTCATCCTCCTCCCATTTCGGGCTCTCTTTTCGTCGCCTCTCATCCTCCTCCTCCTACTCCTCCACCTCCTCCTCCTCCTTCTCCTCCACCTCCTCCTCCTCCTCCTCCTCCTCCTCCTCCTCCTCCTCCTCCTCCTCCTCCTCCTCTTCGCCGTCATCGTCGGAGTCGCCGTCCTTGGCGTCCTCGCCGTCCCCGTCGCCCTCGTCGCCCTCGTATCGGCCTATGGAGGACATCTTACAGAGCGCGTTCTGGCCAGGGTTTCGAGGCGAATCCAGATGTGGCGACGAGGACGCCCCAGGAAGCCGAAGATAAAGATCAGAGCTCATTCCTTCGATATCGTCTTCGTCGCCGCCGCCACCACAGTCGTCGTGCCCGCCGCCGCCACCCCGCGGGTTTCCTCCGCGGCCCAGTCGGCACCGCGCTGCCCCGTGCGGACGAGTCGCTGACGTGCCGGACGACCTCGACGAGGAGGCCGAAGTGCGGGAGAGGACGAGGCGGAGGAGAAGGAATAGGGGACGGGGTGGGAGGACGAGAGCAAGGTTTTCGGAGGTTCTCGACGGTCGCTGCCAGTTTTCGGAAGCTGTCTGGAGGTTTCTGGAGGAACTGGGGGGAAGGGCACGATGGAGGAGACAACTGCAGGCCCTAGTACACAGGGCATAGCAGATCTTTCGATGTTTCGCTGCATGGCGAATCCCTACATCGCCTTGATGATGATCAGGATATCGATGGTTATGACGCAGATGGCGATGATGACGATAGTGAGGACCACACCCAGTGCGGATAGTGGCAAGAATGCTGTTGCAGCGGCGGAAGCGGGTGGAAACCTTACACACAGGTCACGCGCAGGATCCGCGGCGGAAACCAGCGGCTGCGGAGGAAGCCTGAAGGCAAAGCTGAAGTTCTGAGGATGGTTCTGTGAAGAAACCAGCGGGAACCTGATCGGACAAGAACGGGAAGCGCCGCTGTAGTCTAATGGGCGTATTGGGCGAGAAGAAGAAAAGGAAGGCGAGGGCTCTGAAGGCAAAACCGAAGTTCTGAGAATGGTTCTGTGAAGAAACCAGCGGGAGATCCGCCGACCACTTGAGAGTCTGCATCTAGGCGTGTGAGATTCTTCCCCCCCAGAACACCCCCCCAGGGCCCCCAAACCAAAAATTTGACCCCAACCCACGGCCGCGGACGACCCTGGACGAGCGCACCATGGAGGGACAGAGGGCCACAAATCGGGCGAATATGCGCCTCAAACGGCTCCCAGGACTGTCGAAAAGGGCCCCGAGTGGACGAAAGATCGCTCCAAGATGCCCAAGATGGCCTCCAGACGGCCGAAGATGTTCCCAAGACAGGCCTCTCAGAGCGCCCCATGACTGCCTACGAGGCCCCCAAAAGCCTTCAAAAAGGGGCTCCAAAAAAAGCCCTCGCGAAGCCTCCACGACGCGCCCCTGAGAGGCCCCCAAACGGCCCCAAGAAACGACCAGGGCACCCGCGGAACTGTGTACGAATGGCGCGCTGTTGCCATGCTCATCGGAAGTTGAACTTGGCGTTGCCTTGTGCTGACACGCGGTGAATGCCCATTTTTGGAGTCCCGAAACGGTGCGGTAACGGACCGTGCGGTGATCTCGAATTCCCCAAGACCTCACCGCACGGTCCGTCACCGCACGGTTTTGGGGCCCCCGAGGCCCCTGTCGCCCGAGACGTCCTCGGAGAACGACCCGAGTCCCAAAACCGTGCGGTGACCCCGAATCCCCACCAACTCACCACACGGTGTGGTCACCACCCCGTTCGGGGGCCCCCGACCACTGTCCCCGTGGACATTCGCACGCTCGTCCCGGCGCCGAAACGGGGCGGGGCGCATCCGCCCCCCGTGACACCGGCAGCGCCCCCGGGCGGGCAGAGCGGCACGGCAGACGAGCAGGGCAAACCACCCAACGCCCATCTGGACGTGCACCCCGCGAAGGGAGAGGAGTCACAGGAAATCGCGAGACCTCAGGAGGCCTCGTGCAACCGCGGCGGGAACAGCTCGTGTTCAAGCAAATCTCCAGCAAAAGCTGCACTTGTTTGTGGCACCCAGGAGCAACACAGCCACACACACACACAATCACACTGCTGAGCTACAGGTAGATAAGAACACACACTTGTTCCTCCTACGCGCGGCTGGGGCCAAACCAATGAACGCAGCATCGAGGTACGACTGCATCGAATTGGCTTCCTTGTGAAGAGGTGCAGCAGTCGAGACAAGAAACACGAGTAGGCGGATCAGGCTCAAAGACCAGACGATGCAGGAGGAAGGAGGCGAAGGAGGAGCGGAGGGCCACCGCAAGACCAGCGCGAGGCAGCCGAGCAGAGAGTCGGAGAGGGGACGCACAAACACACACACACACACACACACACTCACACACACAAACACACACACACACACACACACAAGCACACACACACACACAAACCTCCCTGACTGTCTGAGACTCCGCCCAGAGAACTTGATAGAAGGATAGCTCAGCCACACGAACATGTCAATTCTCTCATCTGGGCACGACCAAAACTTGGTATGGCGACCGTCATCATCAACAGTAGCATCGCTGCCATCCTCGTCATCATCCTGATCATCATCACCTCCACAGTTACCATCATCATCATGATCATGATCATCATCATCATCATCATCATCATCAGCAGCATCATCATCATCATCATCATCATCAGCAGCAGCATCAGCATCAGCATCATCATCATCATCATCATCATCATCATCATCATCATCCTGATCATCCTCACCATCATCATCATCATCATCATCAGAATCAGCATCATCACCATCATCATCAACATCATCATCATCCTCATCATCCGCATCATCCTCATCATCATCAGCAGCATCATCATCATCATCAGCGCCGTCGTTGTAGTCACGACCGCCAACTCCAACACCATACATCCACCATCATCAGCATCCTCGGCATCATCAGCCTCATCATCATCACCATCACCAGCATCACCATCACCATCATCATCCTCATCCTCATCATCATCAGCATCACCAACATCATCAACATCCTGATCATCATCATCATCAGCGCCGTCGTTATTAGTCACAATCGCGAACTCCAACATCATACATCCACCATCATCAGCATCCTCGGCATCATCAGCATCATCAGCATCATCATCATCATCATCATCACCATCACCATCATCACCATCACCATCACAATACCAATCATTATCCTCATCCTCATCATCAGCATCATCATCATCTTCATCATCAGCATCATCATCACCATCGTCGCCGCCATGTTCATCGTCACCGTCAGCTTTCAATGCTTTCGGCTTCCCAGCGGGCAAGCGGAAAGGAAAACGAGCGCGCCATCGAGACGTAGGAGGGTGGGGGGCGAGGAGGCGCGGCAGCAGCAGGAAGGAAGGCGACTCGGGCGTTGCGGAATGGGGTGGCGACAAGTGGGGGGGGGAGCACACCTTGCACCCTTCGTACCCCTGCTGGGCCCCAGGGTGGGCCTTCAGGACCCTTTTCGGGCACAAGAAATGCACCTCTCTACACCTACTACGCTTTGCGGTGCTCTTCTACGCCATGCCATGCCGTGCTCTACAATGCATCGCGTATTGTATAGGGCGCTGCCACAAAACAGTAAAGGGTACTGGGGGGGGGGCTTGGGGAGAGCGAGGTCGGATCTTACCCTGGGGCACTTGTAGATATTCACACATGCCCCTCGGAAGCAATCGACTAAGGCTGCAAATTGCCTGGTGCAAGAACTTATACGCACATTAAGCACAGGGGCACGGCGCTCCTCTCCTCTCCACTCCTCTCCTCCCCCCTCCTCCTCCTCCTCCCCTCTTCTCGCCTTTCCTCTCCTTCCTCCCCTCTCCTCTCCTCTCTTCCCATTATCATCCTCCTCCTTCTCCTTCGGCGCCCCCCCGTCTCTCTTCCCATCCTCCCACCACCTGCCATCCCATCTTCATTCAGTTGACGCTTTGGGTCGTAGTCTGACCCTGCTGTTTTTATTGATATTGGTGTGCCTCCCGATCTCACGTCTCGTCCTACTATTCGTTCGCGTTCGTACCTGCTCTGTCTGCCCCGTCTCCTCCAGCTTCGCTGTCATCGCGGCGTCCCTGCCCCATCCACCCCCAACCTAGCTCACGAGGGACGACAGCGACGACCAGGGCGACTGCGGCGGCATCGTCAGCGGCAGCGCAGGGACGACAGGAGAGAGGAAGGAGAGAGGAAGGAGAAGAGGGGAGGGCGACAGCGACGACGAGGGAAACTGCGGCGGCATCGTCGGCGACAGCGCAGGCACGAGAGGAGAGGGGAAGGAGAGAGGAAGGAGAAGAGGGGAGGGGAGGGGCGGGCAGGGGAGGAGGGGGAGAGAGGAAGGAGGAAATGGGCGAGTGAGGGATGGGCGGGTGGGCGGATCAAGGGCGGAGAGTGGGCGAGAAAGGGGCGGGTAAGATGCTGAGAAGACAGCCAGCAATGGCTTGTCACAAAGTGCTCACTGGACCCCTCGAGCGTCGCCCAGGCCAGTGCCTCGAGCCTCCGAACTGCTCAGCTCGAACGAGACGGGCGGCCCAGGCGCCCCAGAAAAAAAAACGGGAGCGGAGCCGCAGAGCTCTCTCCTGGCCACCGAGTCGGTGGTGTTCGCATTGTCGCATCTATCGTCGTCGCTGTTCGTAGGTCGCTCGTCCTCCTTCCTATCCTCGTCCTCTCGACTGTGATCTGAGAACCCTCGAGCTCCGAACTCCCAATCCCCGATCTATTGCAGCGCCTGCGAGCCCTTCTTCTTAAGGGTCGGCCTGTCGCTTGCAGGGGCAGCTGTCGACTTCGACGGGCCAGCACTGCCTCCTGCGATACTCGAGAAGTCGGTACCACCAACACTGATGTGAGACTTCTCGCCGCTGGTGTCTGGCGGCCTGGCAAGGACGGCTGCAACCCGATCCTGCAAGGCCTGATTCAAATCCTGGAGCTTCGCATTGAAACGCTTGGGCAGGATGCCCGCAGTCAGCTCCAACGAACGCTGGAGAGCACACGCAGGCGCAGCATTGATGCAGCTAGCCAGCACCATCTCCGACAAAGCACTACCAAGCTTCAAAGCAAGCGACGAGCGATTCGCACTGTACTCACTGAGAGACCGAACCACACTTATCTCCTTGTCGCCAGCCCACTTGAGCATGGAGACGTTGGAGACCAGGAACTCACATATGCGCTCGGATGTGGGCGTCGTGGCAATGAACGTCTCGAAACGTCTGATCATCGCCGCCCATGCCGAGTCGTTGCCGTCCGAGGTGAGAAACGCGAGCTCCCCCTTGAACGACCACTTGTTCAAGGCTTCCTCCAAGCCGCTGCACTTGTCCAAGAACTGCTGGATTTCTTCCTCCACGTCGGGCTTGGTGAGGTCGCGGAGCGCAAGCCTCCACGCCCTGATCAGCTCATTCTCATGCTTCCCGAACGACTCCAGCTC